GTTTTAAATTGGAAGAAAAAAGATTCAGATTAGATATCAGAAAGAAATTTTTTACTATGAGGGTGGTGAGACACTGGAACAGGTTGCCCAGAGAAGCTGTGGCTGCCCCATCCCTGGAGTGTTCAGGGCCAGGCTGGATGGGGCCTTGAGCAACCTGGTCTGGTGGGAGGTGTCCCTGCCCATGGCAGGGGGTTGGAACTCGATGATCTTTGAGGTCCCTTCCAACCCAAACCATTCTATGATTCTATGATACCGGCCTTGGTTTCATACTGGATTTCACTAAGATAAACCTAAAGAGATCAGAAGCTCAAGAGCACAGTAGAAAGTAAAAACCAGTATGTATTTATTGCCTTTAGTCGAAATATTAGTTAACTTCCCCCCCAAAAAAAACAACAAACCCCTGCATTTTTCCTCTAGCTTATTTTGTGGCTTAAAATCAGTAAAAGACCAAACCTCTATGAGTATTTACTTTCCAGTAGCTACTTTTTAGCCTAATATATTAGATCCAAAATATTGAGTCTCCACAGGGTATTAAAACTCTGGGCATGAGATGTCTGGAAATGTATCTCAGCCTACGTTACCTTCTTTTTCTAGAATATAAAGCAGAATAACACTCTACAGAAACTCATGCCATGAGTGTTTGTTGGTTGAAATTACTGACAACAAACTAAAACTTCTTGTAGATGTATTTTAGGCTTAACAGATTGACTGATTCCCAGCCCCAAGGAACCTCACCTGCTCTGTGTGAGTGGGAAGCTGAGGGCAAAACATTTATTGCAACCGAGCAGAGCTGTATTTAAAATAAAAAATAAAATATTAAAAATGAACCTTTTGTACTTTTTTTACAGAGAGGAACAGCCATGAACAAGGCTGCCTGTTCTTATTCTTCTGCTTTTGGTGCTTCATGTGATTGCAAAGTTCAGCAGAGACCTGTAATAAATCATTCCTTTTTACCAATAAGTGCATTATATTGGAAGTAAACATTAAAACAGTAAATGTCGTACCTTGTATGTTGTATTTCAGCTTCCCCATTTTACATACTAAGCACTGAACAAAATCTGACCACTTTCCTGAAGGTAAAAGTATATTTGCTGGCATTTCCCCCCCGTAGAGCTTCCTTTTGCAGGAGCAACATCAGCAAGATCTTAAAATGCTTCTAAAGTTACTCCTTAACTTTGAGGACAAGAGAACCAGAGACTAAGACACATTGTTTCCATAACCAGGAATAAGCCCAATATAGTCAAATTTTAGGGTAGAGAGTACTGTGACACATACAGTATAAATTAATTTATTCTTCATTTGGCCTCATGATTCTTTCTTGTGATTTTTTTTGGTAGCTTGTAGCTCATAGCATCATTACATTTACGTGCCACCACTACAGTAGCTTTGGACCTCCCGTAATACTGGCCCTCTTGCCAACCTCCCCTGCCTCCAAGCAGCAAAATTCTATGGAATACTGAAATTTCCTTTACAATTCCCTTTAAAGATCGACACAGAGGCTGGCACGATTACAGCACTTCTTCCTCGCTACAGCACAGTGGCAAAGAGCAGCGATGCCAACCAGTCAAATCGTCTCTCAAAGTAATCTAAAATCCTTACCTGAAGCGTCATTAACCAGTTTAGCACTCCTTATTAATAACATTAACTGTTATCAATACAGTTATTCTATATAGTTTGGTCTGTCAGCACTAAGGTGTGGTTTAATGCTTAGTCCCTGCTGCCTTCAGTGTCCCGCTGCGCTTCAAGCAGAGGAGAAACTGCACTGATTTATTGTTTTAGAAACTGTATTCCTACACTCTTACCTCAAAAATAGGCTCAAAATTGATCTTGGGCATTTGTAAGTGCATGTCAGTGACAGCACCATATCCATGCCCTAGACACTTCTCACCTGCCTCCCCTTCTGCTTGGAGAAGTGTCCAAAAGCCACTCTTTCCCCCCAGTTCCCAAGTGGGCACTAGAAATCCTCGCCAGGGAGATCCAGGCTCCCTCTGCCCTCCCTGAAGCCTGTGTCAGCATACAAAAGACCTCAAAAATCTCCAGTGAGAAGGTTCCTCCAAAATATCCTTGTAACAGAGAGGGCTGGCAAGGAGGAAAAAAATAAAATAAGTAACAGAACCCACAAACATGCCCCGCTCTCTCCCTGGGCTGGAACAAGCTGGAGCACTCGCTGATAAGAAACATGGGGACTTTTCGTCCTACAATGGACAAAAGCTGAAAAGGTTTCCCAGTGAGCAGGGAGATGAACTGGGTGAACCTCTGGTGGTGCAGCTGACCCTCTCCAGTTCCATCCAGTTCAGATGCTTTTGTTTCTCAGGCACAGAGCGCAGCTCCTGACACAAGGGTGGCTCCAGGCTCTTCTTTTTGACCCTCGGAATGCTCCAAAGCAGAGCAAGTGCAGAAGTAGCACGTGTGTGAGTTGGAAAGAAATCCTGAACTTCCCTTCAACCGCTTGGACTCAAACCTTGCAAGACTGCATTTTATAAAGATCGTTTTTTTCCTGTATTCACAGCTCCTCTATGTTTACAATTTTGTGAAAATTATTATAAAACATTTATTGACGGCAGCAATAAACAGAACACGTTTCTGTAAACAGAAATTAAAGTGGAAAATGGCTTTAAGTCATTGTTGACCAGCCAGCTGTACAAAAGCTTAAGCAGTGCAGCAGTCGGGGAGGTTAAGAAGAATCCACACCGAGTTCAGGAGATGTCATGCCTTATTAGATCACCAAAATAAGCTGTTATTGTCTTCAGCTTGTTGTTGAGAAAATTTTGTTCGATTTCAACTTTCCCTCCTGGCCCTGCTAAGGAAGCCACCTGAAAAACAAAGAACAAAAAGCAAATCAATCACCACACAGGAAAAAGAGGTGAACCCCCCGAATCTTTTATTCGCATAAAAATTTCACATAAACCACATCTTTACTCCGTTAATACTGGTGACAATGCTCCTTGGCACCTAACGCATCGTGAAAAACAAAGAACAAAAAGCAAATCAATCAACACACAGGAAAAGAGGTGAAACCCCCGAATCTTTTATTCACATAAAAATTTCACATAAAGCACATCTTTGCTCTGTTAATACTGGTAACAACGCTCCTTGGCACCTAACACATCCCGTCCTCTTTCCATGTCTCTTCTTACTCCCAGAAGTGGTTTGTGGCTTTCTTGTGACTGAGAGGTCCCCCTCACCATGAAAACAAGAGGACTTCAGAAGTAAATACTCATCATTTCATATGCTGTGCTGAGGCTGCAGGGTACTTGGCCTTTCAGACACCCAGTTGGGGCGAAAAAGCTGTAAACTGTGCTTTGAAGGTGTCAAAAATGTGATAGGGCATTGGAACAGGCTGCCCAGGGAGGTGGTGGAGTCACCATCCCTGGCTGTGTTTAAGGGCCGTTTAGATGCAGTGCTAAGGGACATGGTGTAGGGGAGGACTTTGTAGAGTAGGGTAGATGGTTGGACTCGATGATCCCAAGGGTCTCTTCCAACCTAGACGATTCTATGATTCTATGAAAAATGCAAAGTAAAACCAAGTCCTGGACTTCGGAAGCATAAAGGTTGCACTGAAGAGGGCGAAGGGAGAAAAACCCAAATAAAACAAGGCCAAAATCCCAAACAGGATGAGAACGTCACACAAAACAGTTTTTGGTTGTTGCTACTGCAACCAAAGAAAGCAAGCTGGTGTGTGCAGCGGAGCCTCGGGCAGTGTGAGGGTAAGGCTGGGGGCAGGGAGAGCCCACCGGGTCCCAGGTCTCCTGTTTACGACCACTGGAGTGAGAATGTCACCGTTCATGCTCTGTTGCCTGAGCCCGGTGCACACCTTCAATGCTCAGTGGTTACAGACACACAACACTTTGCAGCAGACTGTGCATTTTGGACTGGAGCATGCAGTGCCCTCTCCTCTCCTGTTCCTGCTCATGATGCCCAGTGCGACCCCTCTGAGGGACAACAGCCAACCGACATAGAATCATAGAATCATAGAATTGTCCAGGCCGGAAGGGACCTCCAAAGGCCATCTAGTCCGACCTCCCCGCAGTCAGCAGGGACACCCCCAACTAGACCAGGTTGCCCAGGGCCTCATCGAGCCTCACCTTGAATATCTCCAGGGATGGGGCCTCAACCACCTCCCTGGGCAACCTGTTCCAGTGCTCCACTACCCTCACAGTAAAGAACCCCCTTCTAATCTCCAATCTAAATCTGTTCCCCTCCAGCTTGAAGCCATTTCCCCTCGTCCTGTCACTACAGGCCTTTCTAAACAGGTTCTCCCCAGCCTTCCTGTAGGCTCCCTTCAGGTACTGGAAGGCTGCTATTAGGTCTCCCCGGAGCCTCCTCTTCTCCAGGCTGAACAACCCCAGTTCCTTCAGCCTGTCCTTGTAGCAGAGGTGCTCCATCCCCTTGATCATCCTTGTGGCCCTCCTCTGGACCCTCTCCATCAGGTCCCTGTCCTTCTTATATTGAGGGCTCCAGCCCTGCACACAATACTCCAGGTGAGGTCTCACCAGAGCAGAGTAAAGTGGCAGAATCACCTCTCTGGACCTGCTGGCAACGCTTCTTTTGATGCAGCCCAGGATGCGATTGGCCTTCTGGGCTGCAGCTGCACACTGCCTGCTCATGTCCAGCTTCTCGTCCACCAGAACCCCCAAGTCCCTTTCCTCAGGGCTGCTTTCCAACACCTCACCCCCTAGTTTGTATTGGTGGCGAGGATTGTTCCGGCCCAGGTGCAGAACCTTGCACTTGCTCTTGTTGAACCTCATGAGGTTCACCTGGGCCCACCTCTCCAGCCTGTCCAGGTCCCTTTGGATGACATCCCGTCCCTCTAGTGTATCGACAACACCACACAGCTTGGTATCATCCGCAAACTTGCTGATGGTGCCTTTAATCTCCCTGTCTATATCATTGATAAAAATGTTAAACAGCACCGGTCCCAGCACAGACCCTTGAGGAACACCACTTGTGACTGGTCTCCATCTGGACTTTGAGCCATTGAGTACATTGAGTACATCTCACCAAGACAGACTGGGCAGGCAGAAGCAAGAGAACAGCACCAAAATTCAGTGTAGACTGCTTCCTCCCACACATATCATGGACCCCAAGGACCCTTGGAGGGTCCCTGCTTCACAGCCAGTCCTGGCCAGCTGCAGGAAAACTATTTCTATCATTCCCCATGCAATGAAACTTCGTGGGCAAGGCAATCAAGGTCTACAAGCCTGCAGTAGGTTCTAACTGATCTTTAAAGCAAGAAGCCCGTGACGTTAGTAGCTGAGACTTAAAAGTTCAGGTTGCATTATTAACACTTGTAAACTCCTTGGAGACTCGACTCTGTAGCGCAGGTTTAAATATAAACATGCTGAACTTCCTCTATTTTACTGTAAGTAAAAAACCAGCCTGCTATCAAGAGGAAATAACAGATCAATCTAAATTATACTTCGAACTTTTATTGACTTGCCCAGAAAATTACCGCACTTATCTAAAGCAAGCATTTATTTTTTCTGTTTTGTTTTGGGTTTTTTTTTCCCTCCCTTTTCATTTTTTTGTTTCTGCAGACAAAAACAAAAGCGTGAGCAGTTTCTTCATCCTTCAATTTAATGGTAGTGGGAAAAAAAAAAACCCTCCACCTTCTTGTCAAAGAGGAACCTGCCACTTAAGTAACAAAGCAGAAGCTGGCTGACTTAAAAATAGCACAAGAATCTGAAATTGGCAAGTGATCAGGAATGTTCATTTCCCAACTTATCTCTTCTTACTTGAAATCCTAAAAGCAGTTAACGCTGTGGTGCGATCTGGATTTTTTTCTAGGAAGGTGTTAACTTGGTCTTTTTCATTTATTACAAACAAAAGCTGGAATGTCCCTTCTGAGAAGCGCTAGAGGCTTTGTACTTTATAGCTAATGTTGTTTTAAGTATTTTAAAATATTAATTGGATTAGTCAATTTAATATAAGAATATGGAAATTACTGTCTCGAGGTTACGTGCTCCCGCTTTCAGGGCACGCTTTGTGTCAGCAGCATATCCACGTATGACTAATGCCCTGATATTAAACACAAGTGTTTGGTAAATATTTCTCTTCGAAGACCAAGTAAAACAAAATGCTTCATCAGTAACACAGGCAAATGTCACTCCTCTGCTGAGGGGTGGCATCCAAAGGTCACCCAGGAAGTTATATACGCTGTGTCTAGGCCTGAAGTGTTAAATCCAGGATAATTAAGACTAATTTTAAACAACTACTAAAGTTATTTGATAAACCCAATGACAAGAAGAATCTAATGAGCATATGGGCGTAAGCTCTGCAGGGATGGATCCAGCACCACAAGTTCCTCAACCCTCCCCCCGGGCCCTGATATTTAGAGGAGAAAAATGCAGATCCTCTGTGACCATGGTTATTTGTATATTGCTGGAGGTTGCAAATTTAATTACGTAGGAATAGCCAAGCTGACCCCTTCTGAGGAAAGTCAACCTTGACAGCTTAACAAGGGAAAACCACCACATACCAGGCTCCAGGAAGGTGCCAGCTTGGCAGAGGGACGCCCTCTAAAAATTGGAGAGGATTGAGGAACGATGCTTTGAGAAAAACAAAGGTGCTCACCTATTTTTAGAAATACTGACACACATCTCCTGTTTCTGCAGTGAGTACGGAAAGGCTTAGCTTCTTTAAAAAATCAGACAAGTCCAAAATTTGCTTATTTTGCATTTTCCTGTGCAAATTCCCTGCTGGCCATTCTCCTCATCCTCGTTTGTTCTTAGCCCAAACCTACTCGAGGTGGGGCAGAGGGAAGGGATGCAGCTTCAGCTGACACGTCCCCGCATCCCTCTCACCTGGATGCTCGGCCCCCCCTCATTTCAGAGATCACTGATGGAGAGTCCACAGCCCACAGCCACAGAAAATTAAGAATACAGCCAGCAGGTTTGGTCTCAAGTTTAAAATGGGGGACATCAGAAAAGAAATATGAAAAGGGAAAGGAACATGGCAGATTACTTCAGAAGCATAAGTTGCTTAAGGTACTTTATATAGTTCAGGGTTTTTTTTGAACTAGAAGGTTTTCCTGCTGGCCTTGCAGGTTTGTTTTTTTTTGTTTTTTTTTTTTTTTTTTTTTTTTTTTTTTTTTTTTTTTTTTTTAATCATACTGATATTTCTTTAGTAAAGTAACTTCCTATCTGTTCCAGCCACCAACTAAGGTTACTGTGGATAAAAAGCTCTATGGTCATTTTTTCCCCTCCTCCAAGACATGTTTCTAGGGTATGAGAAATTCAAGCTTTTTGGCTTAATAAGCAATCACACAAGGACACTGTGATTCACTTCATTTTACAGAACACTAGTAAAAAGAAGAATCCTGTTCCCTACCCCCAGCCAACCTAAAGGGTAGGGGAAAATAAAATCCCAAACCACTTGGAAAAAAAAAAAGCAATGGTATTCTTTACACTGAACATAATAAACCAAAATGCTCTCAGGCAGCATTTTTTGAGATTTACATCTGCAGGTGAACAATGCCACTGCCACGGTGGTGCTGCCACCCTCTGACAGGCTAGAGATTTTATTATTTATTTTTTAAAAAAACTTGAGGTAGGCAAACTACAATTCAGTATTTAAGTACTATGAGCTTTAGGAAGATTAGAAGAATTTTAGAAGTCCAGAAGTGGCTTGGTGTATGCTGGGGGTATCTTCTAGCTTTATCTTTTATCAAGGATAGAGAACAGATGTGAGTTTAAAGCCAGCTGCTTAAAAGCTGCAATTATTTACATGATGGTCACAGCTGAAGAGTACACAATTACACAATTCCATCCACTTAGAAACGATCAGCCTTCAAAACACACGGACCCATAGTCTTTCACCTGCCAACTCCCCTAATATCCAAGCATCTTAAAAATACACTCTAATTAATCTGAGTTTGTCTCCTGGCCTCTCACTCCCTGCTTTGCTCATTGTTGTATTTACTCCTAAATAAACACAACACGGCTTGGCAGCTCCCATTTGGCTACGTCTCCACTCTAAAATCACAGCTAAACAAAAAGGGCCAGCGGTAGTTTTACTAGTCAACCTCCCATCAAGTTTCTTAATTCAGAGACTACTATACTTTCTTTTATTAAACTGATCTGGCAATATTTTCTGTTCTCTGAATGACACCAGATAGAATTAAAATAAATTAATTGATCAATTTTACCTATCTTTATACTCCCTTGTAATAACTGGACTGTCAAGAACAGAAGCACAGCAAACATCGTCCCATCCAAACACTAGACTTTCAGACAGAACAAGGCTTCAGTTTCTACCTCTAGATTGTCTCAAAATAGACAACAAAGATGACATGGCATCAAAGGCATGAAAAAAAGAAAAGGCACTTTGCTTAATTCTGAGCTCAGGGAATCACTCTACACACTAGACAAGGAACAAAAGGTAATTCGTACACTCTGGCAGAATTTGGAATATAAACCAGGTCTCAGACACCAACATTTAGGACAGCAAGAGTTGCAACAGCACTGCAATTTCACTAAATTAGGCAGATCTATCACAAACAACAAAAAACCAAACAGCTGTCTCCAAAATGCCAAAAACCCCAAACCGAGGAAACTGCCCAATTATTTTTTTGTAGCAGTCTTCAAATCTTATGCACACAATAATATGCTTTCAATACACAAACAGGAAAAGGTCTGAAAAGTGACCGGTTAAAAAAAAAAATAATGAATTATCAACAGTGCACAAAGACTAATGTAAACCTTTCCCTGGCTCTTACCCTACTTCAATTTTTAAAAACATGGTATCTTGAGTGGATAAATGCAGCCTGGAAGATTTTCCTGGTGGGGATTGACTGAGTTACAAACCAATACACCACCAAGCGGACTGCTGGTAGGTCAGCTTGTGATGGACAGAACCACAACTGGCTGGTAACAAATAAATCCCTAACTAGTTTAAGTGAAGTTTAAGTTTACATAATTCCAGTCAACCAGTAGGAATCACATGGGAGAATGCCATAAATAATACAGCTAGAATGGCATATGCCTGTGAACACTGTTGCATCCTCAAGTAGTACAGTCACTGCTTTTCAAAACCACCACTGACAGCCAAATGCAGGTTTAGCCCCCCAGAACTGAAGCAGTGTGAATAAACTGCTGACTGGTGGTTTCCACAACTTCCCCCCAGCCTTTTTTTTTTTTAAGGGTTGTGAAAAAAAAAAAACCTTTAAAAGAAAATAAAAGACTCAGATGTTAAGGTGCTTCATAGAGATAGGTATCAACAAGGGTGCCACACAGGAACTATATAATAGGCACTATTAATAAAGCAATGTATTTTTTAATGTATGTGCACATACATATATACAATAATTCCTCATGATTCCTCAAGTAGAAAGAATATTTGGAAAGACTGATTTGACCTAAAAATGGAACTGTAGACATTACAAACTTTGTAACAAGTACACGCTTGTAAACAAGGAGATTTGATGCAATGAAGGGAAATGTTTCACATTTCTTGTAAAGGCACCAACCACATTCCAGCGGTTCGCTGCTCCCTCTCGAGGCACAACTACAGAAGTTCGTTCCTCCTCTTCCACCTAAACTCAGGGACTTTTGTAAGAGAATTCAAAGAACCCCCTATCTCTCTACAAGACCAACTTTACACAAAAAAGGCTGTGCCTGCAGACAAAATAAGCACTAGTTTTGCCAGAAAATCACGTGGAACAAAGCTGGATAACTTGTCTACACGTAAGGCAATGAACACGGAGTCCTCCAACAGAGCTAGGTCGTGGCCAGCTACCACCTGCTTTCACAGCAGCAGCAGGACCTCTGTTCTATCTTGGCTAACTGTAAAAAGAAGCACAGATTTTACACTAAACTTGCACTACCTTAACTGAGGGTTAAACACTTTTTATTGTAACGTTGCTTCAACTGCTGGTATCAGTCCCACCCCATCTCTCCTGTAGCCCCCTCAGGTACTGGAAGGCTGTTATAAGTTCTCTCCAGAGCCTTCACTCTCCAGGCTGAACAACCCCAACTCTCTCAGCCTGTCCTCACAGGAGAGGTGCTCCAAGCCCTCTGATCATTTTTGTGGCCCTACTTCTTTTCCTGAGAGTAGCCCATGGCCTGGACAACTGAACTGAACCCAGGTCTCCACCAACGTGCTTTTAACAACTGAGCTGTGACCACAAAGCCATGTTTTTGAGCAACAGCAGTTACTCTTCAGCCACTTGTGTAAAGGCAAACCCGCACATGTACATTAACGAAGACTTGAGAGCACATCAACAACATCCAGAGCCAACTGGAATAAGGTGTAGAGGTGGCAAGACACCTCACCCAGCCACACAGAGGTGTTGAGCTCTTTTGTAGGAATAGGTGCAGGCCTGTGGATAGTACTCTTAGATGCTTTTGTGGGAACATAAGTGAAATGTAGCTGTCTTTTCCCATTTATAAATCCAGTAAAAAGTGCGAAAGCAGAAACCTAGTAAGGTCATTCTTCACCATGGGAATTAAACATCTGATAAAACACAGTGGTTAGAAGTTTAAACTAAAGAAACTCTGCCTAAAGTTAAGGTCCCTGGTCAAAGATTCATAAGCCACTTTGACATTTCGCCAGCCTGAAATGCAAAACACAACGGAATCATCACCTGCTGTATGAATGGTGCTGTGCATAATGTAGGCTCTGGTGTATTAATACTCAGGCCAGGTGAATTTCAGCCCATTTCAGCCAGCTGTTTGCCACCAACCATTCTGTGAGCCACCCTGTGGCTTGAGACCTTGCCTGCTCTAAGTCAGACACAGCTTTTGGAAAAGCAGGAAATAATCCTGGGAAGTTCTGTGGCATGTTACAGGTGAGGAGAACATATCTCACTGCTCCCTTCTTTGCAAAAAGCTGCAAGACGTAATTAACATAGAAAATACACAGAGGAAACTAAACCAGACACTCAGGGGAATTGTTACAGTCATCTAATTACTTAAAAAAAAAATTATCAAAAAATCTCCAATACAAGAAAAACCCCACACCAGTGAAACAAATTGTGCACTTGTCAAGCCAGTGATGTATTTAACTGTCTAATCACTGCAGTGCAACCAGCCCATATGGAACCAACACAGCATCACTTGTGTGGACAGCATCAATACTCCTCTCTGGGGGCACAGCATTTGTCACTGATCTACTAATCACTGGTATTAGTGATTGCAGGCTGTACAATGATTTCCTGCAACTCCATCAGAAACTGAAATTTAGGACTCAGCAACTTAGCAGGTAAATAAGAGCTGGTTAAAATATTTTTTCTTTTATAACGATGTAACCGTTTGGCACTCAAGAAATGTACAGGCTCTGGATCTTCTATAAGAACATCCAATCTGTTGCTTTATGAAGGAACACTATCAAAACCACAGAAATAATCTACAACTCCCATTTCTCTATATATCAAAAGTACTGCAAGCACAGAAATCACCTAAAGTTCAAACTTAAAACAAAACAACTTCCTACATTCAGCTGAACAGATTTAAAAGTTTAAATTTGTGCTTATAATACTCATGTTTTAAGCCAGCCAAGCTTTCTGTAACTACCAAGTCTTTTTCCAGTAACACACCTGGTCAATGTCAGCATTCCGAGGTAGAAAATACACAATATTATTGGTGATCTTCTTAGAGAGCCTGAAAATTTCAAATGTAGAAGCCAGTAAAGGAAAAAACAGGAATGGGGAAGGAGATATTGCTTTATACTCATTCATTTTGAAAGTATGCCCCAAATTCAGTTCTTATGTAATTAAATTAGTCTTCTGAGTGTATGAGTTAGACACTCTTCTGAAATGCAGAAATTAGTATTGTATAAACGCAGAAACTATTTCAGCATTTTTGCCCAAGAAAGTAGAAAAATACCAAACCCAGACCACCTTATTTTTTAAAGAAAATTTAACTGAACTACAAAGTATTTGAGACATTCAAATATATTTTATAGCTAGTACATTGGTTCAATATTTGTTTTCTAATCCATTTCATGGAATCTCTCTCACATATGCATACAAAGATTTTCTTACTCTCGCAAATATGGCTATATTTTAACCCAAAAGGAAACAACAGAGATCATTTTTTAGCAAAAACAAACCCCACCACTGTTCATATTTGATGGAACTATTAAACTAATACCTTTCTGGATGAATGACTACTTGATACCAGTGTTAAAAAGTTAGTATGGAATTTTATACATTAATTAAAAGGTTAATATTTCGCTTGCACTCTTCTGTAATTTCCTAAGTTATAGTCAGGTGCTATGGTTGAGAATAGTTTGAGTAAGATATTCTAAATAAGATATATCTTTTATAAATCAATTACAAAGTACAATTAATGACAAATTCATAGCTTGCGTAACTAATTATTACCTATATATACACCATATGGCTATTTGATTACTTCAGGGTATTTTAACTAAATAATATAAAGGAGTTAAAACTGCTGAATTAACGCTTTAAGTTAAGAAGCTACTATAATTCTCTAAAGGATTTTTTTTAACCTTTAGAAATAAATCTTTACGTTATTTAAAAAAAATGATAAAAATATTTAATTTTAGGTGGTCAAAGTCATATAGCTGAGGAGGACTAAACAAATGTGGCACATCTGGGACTTCAGCTTCTGGTCATATCATCCCCAGTCAGCCAACTGGACATGCAAAGCCCATGTCAAGAGGGGAAGGAGAAGAAAGTGAGAAAACTGCTAGTTCTTTCTGAAAATCACAACAATGCATAACTTTGAAAGGATATCCATCTGGGCAAATCATGGTTTGGATATCGAAGATTTCGGCAGTGGCGTAGTCAGGGCCCCCCCAGGGTGGGCTGAGGAACACCACATCTGCTTTCAGGTCAGCAGCCAGCACCATGAAGTCCCCACACACAAATTCTATCTGATCTGCCACACCGTAGACTTCAGCGTTGTTGCGCGCCAGACTGAGCTTCTCGGGATCAATATCAATAGCGATCACTGAAAATGAGAAAGAGAACAAATGCACAGGTTAACGTGGACTGTGAATGCCACCCTGACCACCAAAAGGATGTTTCAGAAGGAAAGTGTTCTTCTGCAACCACCACCACAAGTCACATCTATGATTTACTGTTGTGTGGTGAGCGACCACTTCAGTTTTGTCGGTCATAGCAGACGTGAAGCTACGGTTCCTCAGAAGGGAAGGACATGGCCTTGCGTGGCAGGAGCAGAGGTTCCACTAGGAGCAGGTGGCCTGCAGTGACAAACCAGCAAGGGAAGTCACGCAGCCAAGGCTGGGAAGGCTCAGCTGCTGTTGCAAAGCTGGGAAGCTTTAGCTTCTGGCAGTCACACATCTACTACCATGACAGTCTTCCATCTCTGCTCAAGCAGTGGACAGGTAAGGCTGTCAGCCTCAGAGAGGAAGTCCTCCTCTCTTCAAACTTGGCAGGAGCTTGACAGCTTAAATGGTATCAATCAGAAACGTAACACTTCTCCTTTGTTAAAGATATCACATTGTACTGAAAATTGAGTTTTAACAAACCCACCCAACAACACAGCAAAACAGCGACGATAGAAGGGCAGTACACAATCACAGAAATAAATATTTAGCCAAAAAAATAAATAAATATTTAGCCAAAAGCTAAGTGAAATTTAGAAAATATTTATAAACTGAATCATAGCCGACCAAACTTAATGCAGTAGAAACCACCATTTGTCTCGCTCAGAAATTCCTCAGAAGCATTAGATGAGCTGATGTTTTACCGGAATGTTTCATGAGCTCAGGAATATCAAGCAGTCAATGTTTTTACAAAAAGCACTCTTAATGTTTCACTGCAATTTCATGAGTTGGCAACAGGAACTGAGTCACATGAAGTTATCATCGCTTTTCTGTATTTGGTTTGTGGTTCTGCTGCACCTTCAGGTGATCTCATTCAAGTGTTTTAAGCACTATTTGCACATAATTTGCTTTTCAGTACGTGGACTTGGTGTAACAATTGGGAAAAGCAGCACCTTTGTGGTGTTTCTGCAGGTCAGCACTGCAAACGGAACAGATCTTCACAGCATCTGACAGACTAATTGCTATGTCACGTAAAAAGAACTTTTGACTAGTACAACAGAAATCCATCTCTGACTTAAAATAGAGAAGTAGTTTTATAGGTCCTTTTCAAAAACACGAGAGTTCATATTGTGAGTCTGATGAAGCAAAAAAGCTTCTGTTGCTTCAGAAGCACTGAAAAGAAAATTTTAAAATCCCAACAAATTCAGCAAACAAAGTGCATATCCAAATTTTTAGGGAGAAACACAAAAATACAATATATACAACACCTGCTTACCCCTTTTGGAGGTCAGTGCAAACTGAATGGCATTTCCTCCAACCCCACAGAACGCGTCCACGATGATATCGCAGTTGAACGACTGGCTAACGCGGAGGGCAATATGCTCAGCTATTTTCTCTGGAGTAACAGAAAACCAACCCTCTGCAAAGGAAAGGGAAGCCGTGTATTCAGTGTATTTTTCGCCTCTTATTTCAAGGTCACCTGAATTAAAACCAGCCAACCAACCCCCCCATACAACTGAAGGTTTAGCATTAATCCGAACAATTTTGGCTTAGCACATTCGACCAGAAAATACAGGCTTTGAAGATGATAAACTCTGGTCAGTCCAGTGATTTGCAAAGCAAACAAGGTCTCACTGAAGCAAACAGATAGGCCTGAATCTCAGCAAATGCTTTGTTGAACTTGGTGCTGAGGATTCCAGCTTATCGAGCACAAACCCACTGAGACAGCTATAAAAAAACCAAACTTTAGACATCACAATTATGCTCTGGTGACAAATAAAGCCAGAAATATATTCTCTCTTATCCCACATGTTTTCTTTACAGCGATGTCTCGTCTGCCAAATAATCTACATGTTTATGTGGGAGAGCATAAGAAGCGAGAGGCTTACAAATCCAAGATATAAAAAGCAGTAATCCTAATTCCTCCTTTACCTATAAATTCATGATCTAGAAGCGGCTTCCATGCAAAGATGGAAAAAAAAAAAGTAACTCTGAAAGTCAGAATAAAAGTAGATCCATCAGCATATTTGGAAGTCTCACAAGATTATTTATAAAAATAAAGAAATATATCATAAAAATTCTGTAAAAGGCCTGAACAAGTATAATTTGGGTGGACTCTGAAAGTGACTGCTGAAAGTCAGAACAAAAGTAGATCCATCAGCATATTTGGAAGTCTCACGAGATTATTTATAAAATTAAAGAAGTATCTCATCAAATTTCTGAAAAAGGCCTGACCAAGTATAATTTGGGTACAGTATGATCTTCAGCAAACATCAGGACTAAGGCAAACAGGGGTGTCCCATGCTAGAAGCTCTACTGAAGTCCAAGACTTCTGTTTGCCTGCAGGCTGGGGGATAGAATTTATCCAGAGATGCAAAAGTAGACGCAATAACACTCCTCTTCTAAGGAAATCAGTAATAAACCGTGAGAAGGACAACAGGTTTGGATACATCTTGTACCACCAAGTCAGCATGCTTTGTGCTGAACACACCTCTGTCTAGTTTGATTCCCTCGTCAAAGCGCGAGAAGAGCCGGTAGCGCTGTGCCCAGTACTTGGCCAGCTCTGGATCAGCAGCAATCTCGGCAGGTAGAGCTCCCAGAGCAATCCTATTCCGTCTCCTCCTTTTTTTCTCCTTCTTCTTCATGGTAATTTTTTCATCCGCAGCTGGAAGACACTGCAAAAGTTCACAATCACTGTTCTTGCAGGCTAGGAACGTAGTCGGTAGGTAGGTGAGAGTTAAGACGCAAGATGCTCACGTTTAACTTTAGTATTGTTTGCCAGATTATGCAAATTAGTGGTTTAAATTAAAAAAAAGCATACTATATTTCAAGGGAATAGTGTTACCTGGCAGGTAACACTAAAAAACACTGTAACAGTCCTAAAAATCCTAACACCTTACCCATTATTTAAAAGCCTTAACAGGCTAGCCATCACCTTCAACCAACAGCAGTAAAGTCTACATAGTGAGCACACAAGTGTATCAGAGCCCAATTTAATGCCCTTATTTATATAAGGTGTAACAACCAATCTGGGCAAGAGTTTTACAGTAGAAATCTAACATAACTGAATTACTGTATAAAGGACTGAATTGTATGTAAAACCCTGAATAATCCTGTTTTTCTATTTAACACTGTAAACAGAGGAGAGTTCCTAATATGGATTTTTTTTTCCCCTAGAACATAATTTTAAAACACGTGCTCCTCAAAGCTCAGCAATATGCATCTAGGACCCAAAACCTGAGAATCTATGCATCTGCCTGAAGTTAATCACCCTCACCCTTACAGGGGAAAAAGAATGTGAACTGAGGACCTGTTAGATCACATCTAGGATCAACAATGATTGTTTATCTATAAAGAAATACTGCCACTGTTAAAGACAAGATCTGGGATTCTGGTGCTCCAGGAATAAGCTACTTCCACTAGCCCAGCTCTCAGTCAGCCTCATCACCCCTTGGATCTAACAAGTCTCTTTGAATAAGAGACTAAACAAACACCACACAACGGTGTAATTTGGGAAGGCCAGTATTAAGGTCACTGCCAATTCATTACCTTGGCTGACATCCTCTGTCTCTACCCGGAGATAATCGGGAATATCCAGGGGGACCAGCTGCCTCCCCGCACCCCGGCCATCGGAGCCGCTCGCTGCCGCGTCCCCCGCCTCCTCCTCAAGGTTACTCCCTCCAGGTTCTGTGAAGGCCACGCTGGAGGATGGTGGGTTTTGGTTTTCAGCATTCAGTGTCACAGTCTGCATGGCAATAACACCTTCCTGATCTTCTGAGTCGCTGCTCGAGGACGACGCTTCCACTTTCGAGCGAGGTGAGGCTGTCTGGGATGGGGCTTCCTCCCCAGGCTTATTAACCTGCTTCAGGAACTCCTCCACCTGTGATTGTCAAGTATCATGGATGATTAGACTGTTAACCATCTTACTTTTGTTCTGTAAAGCTAGTTTAAAAGCATTAGAGTTCAAAAGCACCTGCCATGCACACACTCTCAGCCACGTGTATTTTGAAAAAAGTAAAATATCCCCAGTCAAAACATTCAGGAGGATAAACAAGTCCCTTAACTCTGCTCCCTTTTTATAGCATTTTGAAAACAAGCTGTCTTTGGGAGCTAGATACCAACTACCTGCAAAAGAGAAATTCCACGAAATCAACTGTAAATACAGTAAATCTTCTCAAGTAAACAGTAAACAGTCAGACTGACCAAGACTAGTACTTTTTAATTAACCATCTTGTCCTTGATCTGCATTCAAAGAAACAATCAGGCAGAGAATTCTGCCTTCCAGGTTTGAATAAATAGGTTAAATTAACTTCATTCATTAGCTGCATCAGCTCCAAGATGTACCAAACATGCATGTGCTAAATGGTTCTGCTGAAAGGGGAAAGTCTGAGGAAATTTGTAACTTTTTTATTATTATTATTTACATCATTAAAGTTGCCCTTGAACTACATCGGCCTCAGGTACAAGATGATCAAGCCTTTGATCAAAAATTATAGCATTTGGACTGGAGTTCAATACAGTATGTGCTGTCACCACCAGAAAACAGTGTTTTGCACTTGGGTGTTAGGGAAGGCCAAGCATCCCAGAAGGCAGCAAAGTAACACTGAAAACCTGAAGTAGCAGATTTCAAAGAAACTCAACTAAGAGAAACAGTGAACAAGTTTTTCTACTCATTACTAATCTCCGAGTTAAAAAGAGTTATAGGTGAAAATAAATCCAGGCAGAGGTGTAAGCAAAAATGTTGATACACATTAAGACCACAGAGTTACATGAAATACACTAATTTATACAAATATTTTTCTCTCACTGCTGAAGTGCCAGCACTAAAACAAATGCCCTCACATGCATTTTAAAATCAGAGACACTTTTAGTAACTTTAGAAACCTACACAGACACACCTCCAAAGGAATGATGCACCCAGACCTTAGGAGTGACTTTCACATAACTTCACCATTAAGGTCACATTCCTCTTAATATAATGCCAAGAGCCCACCAATGCCTTTCCATATCCACCCTAAACTAACTACTTTTCACCTAAGCAAGGAAATTAAAAAAAAAAAAAAAAGAGCAGTGACAATTAAAAATGCCACCTATTCTGGGCAATTAATTTTTTCTCATGTTTGTAATTCAACAACAGCTAAGGGAGCAGATAAATCTATGAATCACAGCAACACTAACAATTAAACCTACCTTCTTCAAAGTTTTATTTTTCTTGAACGATGTTTCAGATCCCTCTGTAAAGAAGATGTGGGTGTTTTTGCTCTTCCTTGGTTTACGCATATCCAAGAATCTGGACTTGAGTTTTGCTTTTTTCTCCAAGTACTGCACGCTTCGGTGGGTGAAATCTGGAATTCCACCATACCTGAAATTTAAAAAGGAAAAAAAAAAGACAGACAAAAAAAAGACCTGGTTAATTTCCAGTTTGGAAGCTTTAACATTAATGTTGACATCTACAAAAAATTTAGACTAAATTATTTCTTTATCAGACATTTGCTCCACTTTTAAAATATGACACTTAATGTAGCTGCTAAACAATCATAGAATGGTTGAGGTTGGAAGGGACCTTGAAGATCATCGAGTTCCAACCCCCCTGCCATGGGCAGGGACACCTCCCACCAGACCAGGTTGCTCAAAGCCCCATCCAGCCTGGCCTTGAACCCCTCCAGGGATGGGGCACCCACAGCTTCTCTGGGCAACCTCTTCCAGTGTCTCACCACCCTCACAGGAAAGAATTTCTAGTATACCTTCAGGAAAACTTTTAAATACTTTCATTTGAAAATGTTTACCTAAATTGGTTTTAGATTTATATTTTTTTTTCTGTTTGGTGTATAACCTTAGGTAAAAAAAATTTGCCAGACCAGCCTGAAAAATAGGAAATGAAAAAATATCTTGATTAGTACAATAATACATCTTTTTGTGGCTCTAAAGAACCTCCAAAACAGCTAACTTTTGTCTCCTGGCAAATGCAATTTAAAAAAAAAAAAAGGAAATAAAGGAAATATGGGAAATTCACTTAAATAATTTTTATAAAGTAGAACAGAGATTGTCAACTACAAAACATACTCCTCTCTGAAATATATATATATGTACTAACCTTACGTCTTGCAGAAGCGCTAGACATAAGCTACAGTTCACCCTATGATGTCACTTGTGTCACTTCTGATGTGCCCTACGATGTTACTCCTATAGCACTGACCACCACGCCTTTAGCTCATACCACCAAAAATAAAATTTCACTGGTCAACGCTCTGGCAACACTTTATTAGCATAGCAACATTTTACCAGTATAAAGCAACCTTATTCCAGTATGAAGCAGCTAATAATTACAATCTAAGTTCACAGGACTCCAAACTGCAATGACTATTCATCATCAGAGCCTTTAAGCTCTAATTTAAGTAGCTAATGAGCCATTTAACATTTAAACAACTGCAAGTACCTTACAAATTGCACTTCTGTTTCAAAGCACTTCTCTTGTTCTTTAATTAGCCTGGGTAACTTTGCATTTCCCTCTCTAGCCAAAGGATAACAGTTTTATTAAGAAATTGGGAATCATCTTCAAAAGTTTAACAAAATGGGAACGGAGATGAATGGTCTGTTTGAATAGTAACAAGAGAGGTGACTTATGAAGAAACCCCAAACTCCTCATAAACAATTACTTTTGTCCCGTGCCACACTTGAAACCCAAGACAGAGCAGGTTTCCTCAGGATCTTCCACAGGGTTCTCATCCACATCCAGTTCATGGCTAGGAAAAAAATGCAGATGACAGAATTACTTACTGTAAAAAACACTGTTTTTACAGGTATACCATTAAGAAACTCAGGTATTGAAAACATTTGAATGTGGGCTTCAGTAGGTTCTTCCACACACCGATGAAACCAAGCAAGGGAAATAACATCAGACTATTCACATACTTTTTTTCTTAGCCAATTTTAGAAACATAGAATAGATAGAGTTGGAAGGAACCCTAAAGACCATCTAGTTCCAACCCCCTGCCACCAGGAAGGACACCCTCCACTAGAGCAGGTTGCTCAAACCCCCATCCAGCCTGGCCTTTAGGGACGCATATCCTACTATTCCAACTATTCCAAATGACCTCTTAAAATATTTACCATCAAGACCTACAAGAAACTGATGAAGATAGTGTTTGTTCACCCTAATTCCAAATTACCTGCATAGCCTATTATGTTATCTATATTATTATGTATTATTAATGCTATGGCAAAAGCAAAACATTCAAAGAAAACCAAAGCTACCTGATTAGCAGATAGTAATTCCATTCATCCCTTCACCTTTGAGTTTATAAATTTATTAGAGAGGAAAAGCCATCTCATCATGTTTGAGGCTATAAATTTTTAGAGAAGAAAGAAAAAGACTGCGACATGGCAGAGATTAGCTATTTTATGATTACCATAGCACCGAGCACTTTACTGGCAGCAAACGATTCAGTTAAACAACACAAATTATTTACTATCATTCTTGTATCATCTACGCCAATTGGACTTAGATAAGCAAGTTGTCCTATCCAATTTAACAATCTTCTATACTTCAGTGGCACAAGAATAGTACTATCATCTTGCACAGTCATTGAGGCCATTTACTGTTTTCATAAAGCAACATCCACTGCTTGTTGCCAGGAAAAGTGATAAGCAGTGATGGAAGACTGTGAGTTAGAACTTCAGTGCAAAACCACATAATCTCAATCAAACAAATAGTTACTATAAATCAGGAGGCTTCTAGACTTGGGCTTCTTGAGAATAAAGCTCGTCTAAATGTCATGACTTGCCTTCGCTTGACTTTGGCATGTCTGTATTCAGGAGGCTCTTCGTCCTCATCTTCATCTTGGTCATGAAGAAGCAACTGTTCTTTGTCATTTGAATTTGAGCTACATGACCCCTGTGAACCTAAAAAAGATAAATGAGATCATATTTTCCTTCTGTGTAAATAAATTCCATTTATTCCTGTCCCCAAAGTACATTTGGAGCTACAGATAGGTTATCATACATACCTGAATCTGACAAAGGCAGCACAAGTGCCAAACACACATAGCTTTACCTGTGTCTGTGTGAGGGACAACATACCAATACAAGCTTCCAGTATTAGTTATACTGTAGAGTTAATAATCTTAAGCAGGACCAACTTCAAATTATCTCAGTTCTCCAAGAAAAATAAAATGCCAAAAGGGACAAATTCAAAACAGTTTCTTCCTTGTGCATAAATTTTGTTTCTGTTTCATTAGCTATGCAAAGATATTCACATACATTTAATAAGCTTGGATTTCAACACTCCTCTCATTTCTTGTTGGGAAGAGATTTTCCTTTCACCTCTCCCAACTGTGCTGTACAATCAAGACAGGACCACACCTGTTGCTTCCTTAGAAAGTCACTAGCAGTGGACTCAGAGGCTTCCCACCAAACTCACGTGCTTCATCCCTCCTTTTCAGTGGGAGAAACCATAGAAGACTCAGGAAAGACGCTACGCTGCTGCTTACAGTGAACACTGGCCAGAAGAACTGGCAGGCAAACGAGATGGCTCTCTCCTTTCTCTACACGCTGAACTAGTTGGCAAAAACGTCTCCAGCCCAGTCTTGCACCTCCCTCACAGAAGCTCCTCCAGCACAGCCAATGGCTTTCACTATGCTACTACATTACCTGGCACTTTCACTTGTCAGCACCAGCTGTAAACATGTGAATTTAGGGTGGTAAAGATGACTGCAGTTCACTGACTAACTGATAACTTAATGCTGGAAAGGACCTCTGGAAGACATCTGGTCCACTACAACAGAACAAGAGTTTATTTTCAAGTATGGCATTTTTAGACAGAAGGTAAAAAATCCCCACCAACCCTAGAACTGCAGAACTATTTTTTTTCCCCCAAAAAAACCTTATCTTAAAATTTGCCAGATTCATGAGAACATCAACCTGAGTTTTCACTCATTTTAGATAACTGGTGAGAAAACATCAGCTGAATGACACAGCTGCAATACCAATATAAATAAATACGCACTAACAATGCTTCCTCAACACCTTCTATAGTGCTTTTGAAGATTTATGAACTACACGTTCTATTAAAATTACTTCTGGCTGAAGAATATATTCAATATACAGGTCAGAGAGAAGTGAGATCATCCAGAAGCAGGGGAAAGAAAAAGGAATCAAGTATGCAATCATTCCACAATACTTGATTGACTTTTTTTGAAATGGCATAAGACAGACGTGCCTGTTGATTCTGGTAGAATCCATTTTTGCTGATTTTGTATTACCTGATTGGTTAATACTTTTATTTTCACAAGATGCACTCCTTTTCCTGTTTCCTCCATCACAGGGCTCCTTCTGCCTTTCACCATCAGACGAACTATGTTCCTGAGGACCTTGGTGGGCTACTGTTAGAGCTGCACTGCTCGGCTCCACTTCCTCCTGATTCAGATTTAAATTACAAATCCCAGAGATAATTTCACTGTGGGGCTCAGCACTTGAAGGGAGTGTTTCCTCGCTTCTGGTGACAGAGGGAGACGGCTGCAAGCTCAGGACTTCACTGCCTTCAGCCCCTGGGCTAACCAAGTCCATTTTTCCCAAAAAACCTGTCTCCTGGGTAACCCCATTAGCTTCCACATTGTCACCATGTGAGCTCTCAGTAGTCCATCCTTGACTTGTCCAGTACTGAAATTGCTCCCAGTAATACCAGTACAGTTCGCTATAATGCTGCTCCCACTCTTCCCTGGTGTCTGGACTATTCCAAGGCTCAGAAGCTGTGGTGGCCTCAGACAATGAGACATTTTGATGCTTCTCCAGCCAACTTTGCCAAAGAAGGCCCTCTCCGTACTCACTCCAGTACTTCTCCCATTTTTCTTTAAGTTCACTGTGTAAAGCCTCATTTGCAAGACTTTCTGAACTTTCACAGTTCCCTTCAGTTACTTCCTGAGGTTTGCTGCTCCTCTCACATTGCTCTGCAGCTAAGGCCAGCTCACCAGAAACGGACTGGATATGATCACCACAGGCTCGATCCTGGCATTCCTGCCCCATTTTATCCTCATGTTTGTGCTTTAACTCTTTTTTCTTCTTTTTCTTTTTCATAATCTTCACTTTACTTCTCTTTCTGTAATTTTCTGTTGCCTAAAATGTAATGGAAAAAAGTACTTAGAAGTCTACAACGTATATGCAGTCTTTTCTTGCCCTCTCTCCAAGCACACTGTTTCTGTTGTAACCCTCCCTCTCACTGCAGCCCTGCTGTGAGCTTTCTCCCCACAAAAGGCTGTAGGGCTTCTGGGTCTGACAGGGTCCTGCTGCATAACCTTGGCTGGCATTTCTGAGGAAGTCCTGAGAAAGTCTACAGAAAGACACACACAAAAAAAATTACAGACAGAAGTGGGGCTGCTGAAAGGGAAGTCATCAGTAGCTCAAGGATTCAGAAGGAAAGAGATCAATATGAAACACTATCAAATCCTAAAGGGAGGTTGGTCAGGAATTGAGGGGCCACTAGGCTGAGCTCAAAGTATCTCATTAACATCAAGGACCTGTTTTAGGGGCCACGGAGGCTGACCCTTGCTGTCACCTGGTATCTGCCTGGCCAGCAAAAACTGTTCAGGTGTCTTAGTAGGGTAGTGAACATATAACGCTCAGCCCAATAAACTGTAAAATCCTTGCCTGTCTTTGAGTGCTTTAAAAAAAAAAGGCATTGCTTCATACTCATAAGCTCTGTAAATCCTGCAGCTGAATCTCTGACACTGACCCAAGAGAGGGGTGTAATATTCTTCCCATCTGAAGATCGCCAAATTGACTAACAGAAAGACAAGGAAACAGCCTCCTCTCCAAACAGGTGAGCCCTTCACTTGTTCCAACAAACTCAGACAACTACAGTTGCCTAGTGGGACAGAAGGCACAAACCTGTAATCAGAAGGAAACACCAAGGTAACTTGTTGGTTTCACCAAATACAGTTTCACTTGTTTTAGCGGGGCTTCCCGGGCTTAAGATACATATAAGATAAAAACATCCAAGAAAAACAAGTTGTTCTATCAAAGAAATCTGCCAAATTCTTTCAAAAACTGCTGTATTAAGTTTGGCAGGTAAAAAGTTGGTAGTGATGAGGGACTAAAACACACACGGGCAAAAAGACTGCAAATGTACAGTTATTACTCCAAACGTTCCATCAGCTGCAACCCCTACTTTTCTTGTATTGACAAATGCATAAGGTTGACTATAAAGAAGTTAGGGTCAGAGAGCTGGCATCAATCTTCCCCCCATGTCCCTCATAATGTCATGTGAATACATGCATTGCAAGGCACAATGCTTAGTAGTTATCTAGTAAAAACATACATTATTTTCTCATTGGATTTATTTGCAGTATTATTACGTAGCAACATAAATCACCTATATACCTTAGCCTTCAAGCTATAAGTCTATTTACATGCCATTAATTAAAACAATGTATAACCCTCTCCTATTTATTTACAAATTAATCAGGTCAGAACTGGAGTGCTGTGCACAAAAGTACTCTCTCATTCCCAGGGAGGGCTGTACTCTAAGAAATGGACTATGTGGATACACCAGTATCTTTATCTCATCTGTGCACAACTTTAGTCTTCATCTAAAGCCCAACCACTCTCTGTGGGAAGTGGAGCACCCAAGCCTCACTCCTGCTCTTTGGAGAAGTCTGGCTTCATCACAGCAGGGGGGAACCAAGGAATTAGCTTTTAATATTAGTACCTAAAGCTAAATGGTTAAAGCAGACAGTATGAATACAGGTGCTCAGGTTGGAGTGTGCTAGTTGTTCTGAAGCAGAGCATCAGCATTATCACAGCTGTTTTCAACTCGCTCTCTCCAGTAACAAGAGCAATATAGATACAGAAGCAGAAAGCACAGCCTGACCCTGTTTAGTCAAACTGGCAGGTGGGTTTTACAAACTGCACAGACCCCAGTGCTGTATGTTGTTACAAGTACACGAGGCAGGCAGCTCACAGCCAGCTCGGATATACTCCCATGAACAGGAGTCTCAAAAATAACTGAGGAGCAGACATGTACCTACATCTGGAAACACAAAGTAAAACGAATAAATAAAGCAAATAAAGAATTACCACGAAGTCCCTGTGGGCTGACTGCCCACCAAACTGAAGAGGCAATCCCATGCTCTTCATGAGCTCTGCCTCCGAGTCTAGCTCAACTTCTTCCAGGTCAAGAGCATGATCAATATCCACCTTTAATGTCGCATTGGGACAACGGTTCTCCTCTTCAGACGCTTGTTCCTCCCCTATTAACAAATTAAATTAAGTGAACTATATTATTATGTATTATTAATGCTATGGCAAAAGCAAAACATTCAAAGAAAACCAAAGCTACCTGATTAGCAGATAGTAATTCCATTCATCCCTTCACCTTTGAGTTTATAAATTTATTAGAGAGGAAAAGCCATCTCATCATGTTTGAGGCTATAAATTTTTAGAGAAGAAAGAAAAAGACTGCGACATGGCAGAGATTAGCTATTTTATGATTACCATAGCACCGAGCACTTTACTGGCAGCAAACGATTCAGTTAAACAACACAAATTATTTACTATCATTCTTGTATCATCTACGCCAATTGGACTTAGATAAGCAAGTTGTCCTATCCAATTTAACAATCTTCTATACTTCAGTGGCACAAGAATAGTACTATCATCTTGCACAGTCATTGAGGCCATTTACTGTTTTCATAAAGCAACATCCACTGCTTGTTGCCAGGAAAAGTGATAAGCAGTGATGGAAGACTGTGAGTTAGAACTTCAGTGCAAAACCACATAATCTCAATCAAACAAATAGTTACTATAAATCAGGAGGCTTCTAGACTTGGGCTTCTTGAGAATAAAGCTCGTCTAAATGTCATGACTTGCCTTCGCTTGACTTTGGCATGTCTGTATTCAGGAGGCTCTTCGTCCTCATCTTCATCTTGGTCATGAAGAAGCAACTGTTCTTTGTCATTTGAATTTGAGCTACATGACCCCTGTGAACCTAAAAAAGATAGAGGAGATCATATTTTCCTTCTGCATAAATAAATTCCATTTCTTCCTGTCCCCAAAGTACATCTGGAGCTACAGTTAGGTTATCATACATACCTGAATCTGACAAAGGCAGCACAAGTGCCAAACACACATAGCTTTACCTGTGTCTGTGTGAGGGACAACATACCAATACAAGCTTCCAGTATTAGTTATACTGTAGAGTTAATAATCTTAAGCAGGACCAACTTCAAATTATCTCAGTTCTCCAAGAAAAATAAAATGCCAAAAGGGACAAATTCAAAACAGTTTCTTCCTTGTGCATAAATTTTGTTTCTGTTTCATTAGCTATGCAAAGATATTCACATACATTTAATAAGCTTGGATTTCAACACTCCTCTCATTTCTTGTTGGGAAGAGATTTTCCTTTCACCTCTCCCATTCCAACTGTGCTGTACGATCAAGACGGGACCACACCTGCTTCTTCCTTCCTTAGAAAGTCACTAGCAGTGGACTCAGAGGTTTCCCACCAAACCCAGGCTGCTGACACTTAACCCACGTGCTTCATCCCTCCTTTTCAGTGGGAGAAACCATAGAAGACTCAGGAAAGACGCTACGCTGCTGCTTACAGTGAACACTGGCCAGGAGAACTGGCAGGCAAACGAGATGGCTCTCTCCTTTCTCTACACGCTGAACTAGTTGGCAAAAACGTCTCCAGCCCAGTCTTGCACCTCCCTCACAGAAGCTCCTCCAGCACAGCCAATGGCTTTCACTATGCTACTACATTACCTGGCACTTTCACTTGTCAGCACCAGCTGTGAACATGTGAATTTGGGGTGGTAAAGATGACTGCAGTTCACTGACTAACTGATAACTTAATGCTGGAAAGGACCTCTGGAAGACATCTGACATCTGGTCTACTACAACAGAACAAGAGTTTATTTTCAAGTATGGCATTTTTAGACAGAAGGTAAAAAATCCCCACCAACCCTAGAACTGCAGAACTATTTTTTTTCCCCCAAAAAAACCTTATCTTAAAATTTGCCAGATTCATGAGAACATCAACCTGAGTTTTCACTCATTTTAGATAACTGGTGAGAAAACATCAGCTGAATGACACAGCTGCAATACCAATATAAATAAATACGCACTAACAATGCTTCCTCAACACCTTCTATAGTGCTTTTGAAGATTTATGAACTACACGTTCTATTAAAATTACTTCTGGCTGAAGAATATATTCAATATACAGGTCAGAGAGAAGTGAGATCATCCAGAAGCAGGGGAAAGAAAAAGGAATCAAGTATGCAATCATTCCACAATACTTGATTGACTTTTTTTGAAATGGCATAAGACAGACGTGCCTGTTGATTCTGGTAGAATCCATTTTTGCTGATTTTGTATTACCTGATTGGTTAATACTTTTATTTTCACAAGATGCACTCCTTTTCCTGTTTCCTCCATCACAGGGCTCCTTCTGCCTTTCACCATCAGACGAACTATGTTCCTGAGGACCTTGGTGGGCTACTGTTAGAGCTGCACTGCTCGGCTCCACTTCCTCCTGATTCAGATTTAAATTACAAATCCCAGAGATAATTTCACTGTGGGGCTCAGCACTTGAAGGGAGTGTTTCCTCGCTTCTGGTGACAGAGGGAGACGGCTGCAAGCTCAGCACTTCACTGCCTTCAGCCCCTGGGCTAACCAAGTCCATTTTCCCCGAAAAACCTGTCTCCTGGGTAACCCCATTAGCTTCCACATTGTCACCGTGCGAGCTCTCAGTAGTCCATCCTTGACTTGTCCAGTACTGAAATTGCTCCCAGTAATACCAGTACAGTTCGCTATAATGCTGCTCCCACTCTTCCCTGGTGTCTGGACTATTCCAAGGCTCAGAAGCTGTGGTGGCCTCAGACAAGGATACGTCTTGATGCTTCTCCAGCCAACTTTGCCAAAGAAGGCCCTCTCCGTACTCACTCCAGTACTTCTCCCATTTTTCTTTAAGTTCACTGTGTAAAGCCTCATTTGCAAGACTTTCTGAACTTTCACAGTTCCCTTCAGTTACTTCCTGAGGTTTGCTGCTCCTCTCACATTGCTCTGCAGCTAAGGCCAGCTCACCAGAAACGGACTGGATATGATCACCACAGGCTCGATCCTGGCATTCCTGCCCCATTTTATCCTCGTGTTTTTGCTTTAACTCTTTTTTCTTCTTTTTCTTTTTCATAATCTTCACTTTACTTCTCTTTCTGTAATTTTCTGTTGCCTAAAATGTAGCGGAAAAAAGTACTTAGAAGTCTACAACGTATATGCAGTCTTTTCTTGCCCTCTCTCCAAGCACACTGTTTCTGTTGTAACCCTCCCTCTCACTGCAGCCCTGCTGTGAGCTTTCTCCCCACAAAAGGCTGTAGGGCTTCTGGGTCTGACAGGGTCCTGCTGCATAACCTTGGCTGGCATTTCTGAGGAAGTCCTGAGAAAGTCTACAGAAAGACACACACAAAAAAAATTACAGACAGAAGTGGGGCTGCTGAAAGGGAAGTCATCAGTAGCTCAAGGATTCAGAAGGAAAGAGATCAATATGAAACACTATCAAATCCTAAAGGGAGGTTGGTCAGGAATTGAGGGGCCACTAGGCTGAGCTCAAAGTATCTCATTAACATCAAGGACCTGTTTTAGGGGCCACGGAGGCTGACCCTTGCTGTCACCTGGTATCTGCCTGGCCAGCAAAAACTGTTCAGGTGTCTTAGTAGGGTAGTGAACATATAACGCTCAGCCCAATAAACTGTAAAATCCTTGCCTGTCTTTGAGTGCTTTAAAAAAAAAGGCATTGCTTCATACTCATAAGCTCTGTAAATCCTGCAGCTGAATCTCTGACACTGACCCAAGAGAGGGGTGTAATATTCTTCCCATCTGAAGATCGCCAGATTGACTAACAGAAAGACAAGGAAACAGCCTCCTCTCCAAACAGGTGAGCCCTTCACTTGTTCCAACAAACTCAGACAACTACAGTTGCCTAGTGGGACAGAAGGCACAAACCTGTAATCAGAAGGAAACACCAAGGTAACTTGTTGGTTTCACCAAATACAGTTTCACTTGTTTTAGCGGGGCTTCCCGGGCTTAAGATACATATAAGATAAAAACATCCAAGAAAAACAAGTTGTTCTATCAAAGAAATCTGCCAAATTCTTTCAAAAACTGCTGTATTAAGTTTGGCAGGTAAAAAGTTGGTAGTGATGAGGGACTAAAACACACACGGGCAAAAAGACTGCAAATGTACAGTTATTACTCCAAACGTTCCATCAGCTGCAACCCCTACTTTTCTTGTATTGACAAATGCATAAGGTTGACTATAAAGAAGTTAGGGTCAGAGAGCTGGCATCAATCTTCCCCCCATGTCCCTCATAATGTCATGTGAATACATGCATTGCAAGGCACAATGCTTAGTAGTTATCTAGTAAAAACATACATTATTTTCTCATTGGATTTATTTGCAGTATTATTACGTAGCAACATAAATCACCTATATACCTTAGCCTTCAAGCTATAAGTCTATTTACATGCCATTAATTAAAACAATGTATAACCCTCTCCTATTTATTTACAAATTAATCAGGTCAGAACTGGAGTGCTGTGCACAAAAGTACTCTCTCATTCCCAGGGAGGGCTGTACTCTAAGAAATGGACTATGTGGATACACCAGTATCTTTATCTCATCTGTGCACAACTTTAGTCTTCATCTAAAGCCCAACCACTCTCTGTGGGAAGTGGAGCACCCAAGCCTCACTCCTGCTCTTTGGAGAAGTCTGGCTTCATCACAGCAGGGGGGAACCAAGGAATTAGCTTTTAATATTAGTACCTAAAGCTAAATGGTTAAAGCAGACAGTATGAATACAGGTGCTCAGGTTGGAGTGTGCTAGTTGTTCTGAAGCAGAGCATCAGCATTATCACAGCTGTTTTCAACTCGCTCTCTCCAGTAACAAGAGCAATATAGATACAGAAGCAGAAAGCACAGCCTGACCCTGTTTAGTCAAACTGGCAGGTGGGTTTTACAAACTGCACAGACCCCAGTGCTGTATGTTGTTACAAGTACACGAGGCAGGCAGCTCACAGCCAGCTCGGATATACTCCCATGAACAGGAGTCTCAAAAATAACTGAGGAGCAGACATGTACCTACATCTGGAAACACAAAGTAAAACGAATAAATAAAGCAAATAAAGAATTACCACGAAGTCCCTGTGGGCTGACTGCCCACCAAACTGAAGAGGCAATCCCATGCTCTTCATGAGCTCTGCCTCCGAGTCTAGCTCAACTTCTTCCAGGTCAAGAGCATGATCAATATCCACCTTTAATGTCGCATTGGGACAACGGTTCTCCTCTTCAGACGCTTGTTCCTCCCCTATTAACAAATTAAATTAAGTGAATATAATCTTGTTCTGATACCTCAATGCAACAGCATGGCCTACCAAAATCAGCAGAACTGCCTCTTAAGCTTCCTTTCCCATTTAAAATTTTTCTCATAAGCATCTTATTTTCTGCACAACTATCAGTAGGAATCAAAAATGTAACTTCGAGAGCCAAAACATCGTGCTGGGTCTGGCTGGGATGGAGTTAACTTTCCTCATAACAGCCTGTAGGCGTGATGTTTTGGATGTCAGTAGGAATCAAAAATGTAACTTCGAGAGCCAAAACATCGTGCTGGGTCTGGCTGGGATGGAGTTAACTTTCCTCATAACAACCTGTAGGAGCGATGTTTTGGATCTGTGGCTAAAACAATGTGGATAACAAAACTGAGGTTTTGGCTATTGCTGAGAATTGCTTGCACAGCATCAATAACTTGCAGAATGAACTACAGAAACGCCCGGCAAACAACAGTAAAATTAGTAAAAGAAAATGCTTTACAGGAGTTCTTTTGGCACCTATCAGAGCAAGCTTAAAATACAAGAAGTCACTGGGTTTGTTTCAAATCGTTCAAAAAACACACTAAGAAAGACAATATTGTAGGAGCGATGTTTTGGATCTGTGGCTAAAACAATGTGGATAACAAAACTGAGGTTTTGGCTATTGCTGAGCAGTGCTTGCACAGCATCAATAACTTGCAGAATGAACTACAGAAACGCCCGGCAAACAACAGTAAAATTAGTAAAAGAAAACTCTTTACAGGAGTTCTTTTGGCACTATCAGAGCAAGCTTAAAATACAAGAAATCACTGGGTTTGTTTCCAATCATTCAAAAAACACACTAAGAAAGACAATACAATTTTACAAAAACGTTCTAACCATTCTACAAGTCTGTGAGTCTATGATTACCTTACCTGTACTGTCATTGTCATCTTTGACATAAAATCCTTTTAATCCCAGTTTATATAATTTTCGATCTCTGTAAAAATGAAGAGTGACATCTATGAAGAAGATCATCATTAGAACAAAATTTTTTGTCCAGTAAAAACAATCATTGAGTGGAACAACCTCCTCAGAGATGCAGCAGAGCCCCCATGGGGTTCACGATGCCATTGGACAGGGTGTGAGATAACCTCATCCAGACTGCCTTTCCCATGAAACGCTGGCCCAGAGGACCTTTTGAGGTCTCTTCCCACCTGGGCTGTTCTGCAATCCTGAACACACGAAGCTAAGAATAACACCAAAAAGGCAGCGCTTTAAAGCCTGATGCAAAAAGCCTACACAAGAGAGGTTTGGAAAATGTTGCCGCTACTCCCAATACCAGGGAATTGAATTTTTGGCCCACAAAACATTCTGCAGGTGGAATTTCTTGTCTGCAGCCCAAAACTAAATATTTCAGCCCCACACCCGACGCTGCGGGTGGGCACCTCAGCTCCACAAGGGCCTCCTGGGCTACACACCGGCTGTGTTTTAACACCCAAAGCTCCGCTATGCAAACCCCCCATCCCCCGCCACAGCCCGCCTCTCGGCGGCACCTCTCCTCTCCCCACTCCTCACTGATCCCCCTCTCCGGCCCCGGGGCCCCCCAGGTCCAGGGGAGGCAGGAGGGGACCGGGGAGGGAGCAGGCCCCGCTGGGCCGTGCCCACTCCGGTAAGGCCCCCCACGGGAACCGACGGGTGGGTGGGCTCCCCTCGTGTCCTGCTCCCCCTACGTGCCCACTCCGGTAAGGCCCCCCACGGGAACCGACGGGTGGGTGGGCTCCCCCCGTGTCCTGCTCCCCCTATCAGCCAAGCCGAGTCCAGCCGAGCCGAGCCGAGCCGAGCCGAGGTCAGCCGAGTCCAGCCGAGGCGAGCCGAGCCGAGTCCAGCCGAGCCGAGCCGAGTCTAGCCGAGTCCAGCTGAGGGGAGCTGTGTGTGAGGGAGGAGGATACGCAGCCGCGGCGGTGGCGGTGTCTCCTCTCAGGGGGCTGGTGTCTCCTCTTGTCACGGCTGGAGCCATACAGCTCGCTCGTGGAGAGGAACAGGGATAC